AACCTTGCCACGCAAACCCAACACAGCTGCACAAGGTGGGTGTTGCACCCACAGTGCTGGAAGGCTAGCAAAGCTTGTGCTCACAGAGAAATGAGCTGACTCACAGACAGGCTCTGTGGGGAGAGCGCAGGAGTTGAGTATTAAATCTGCTTGCCCTGGGATGGAGGAAGCAGGGATTCTTACAGAGCTGATGAAGACTGAGGTGTTGCCATCGCTGCAGTGAAGCAAATGATTTTTTTTTATTTATTTTTTTTTTTAAAGTCATGGTCAGAAAGAATTTTCAGGTCCTATTCTGTGAGACGCTGAATGTCCTTTGTGCCTGTTGAACATGGAGGATGTCACAGATACTCAGCAGATTCCAGGATCAGACCCAAGAGTCTATGTGCAAAAAAGGGTTTTGAAGAACCAGGAGAAAATAGTTGGAGGTCTGAAGCTCTGTTGCAAGGGAATTTTGCAATGGAAAGGCTTGGATTTCCAATAGCTGCTAAAAAGGACAGAGAAGGTCAAACTTTTGGGATGGAGATTGTGTCTAAATACTTGACCGAGCCCTTTCTAAATGGGACACACTTAAAAAAAATCTGAGAATTGAGCACTGATCCATCTCTGCTGGGGGGGTAAGGGTGAGAGCTTTTGCTAAGAAGCATCTATGAAACAGAAACCTCTTCTAACAAGCAGCCTCCTTGTTGTGATTGCAGGGCTATTACAAAAGGACCTTGGATTATCCCCTGATTCGGGAATGGAAGAGGACAGGCTGTTTTGCTGTCCCGATGATTCATTCCACGTTCCTCATTGACTTGAGGAAAGAGGCCTCCACCAAGCTGATGTTTTACCCCCCGCACCAGGATTACACCTGGAGCTTTGATGATATCATGGTCTTTGCCTTCTCCAGTCGCCAAGCAGGTATGTCTGGAGCCTTTGCTGAGGAGGATTCGTTAGTAGACATGCAGATCTCTGAGTTCACAGGCCAAAAGTCATGTGTTGGCTTCAGTGGTGAGTTAAGACCCTGTTCCCTTTCCTCTATCGGATCTGGTCAGGGATGACCAGCAGGAAGTGACTGGCAGTGCAGCTTCAGAGGACCTGGGAGCCGTTCTTGGGACAGGACCAGTGTTTCAGAGACTAAATGGGTGGCGTCGCCCCTCGACTGGTGTCACAGCGAGGCACAGGTGAATGCTGTGAGAGTGGAAGGCATTCTGAAGTCTGTAGGTAATGGATCTAAAGTCACCACTTTGCAGAGACGCCGTGAGGAAGGGGGCGAGGGCAAGAGACTCTTTTTAGATGTAACAGCCCTTGTGGAAAACAAAACCAAGGTCACTTATCCACAGTGCTGGTGAGGCTTTGCTTCAGGGCAGCTCCGCAGGGATTGTCCGAGAGGTGGGGTTTTTAAATTTTTTTTTTTTTTTTTGGAAAGCAAAATCATTGTGGCTTTCAGGGGAATGATGTGGAGTCCGTGGGCTGTGCGGAGAGGAAATCTCTTGCAGGCAAGAGCAGGTTAGAGCTGGTGTGCGAGCAGTAAAACCTCTGCGTACTTGACACTGTGTCATCGGTACTTTGGGAGAACCAGTCGCGCACTGAGCTGCCTTGAAGACCCTTGGGGCACAGTGGAGAGACAGTGCGTACCGCTCCGGCTCATACTGGGATCAGTTCCTCCCGAACAGTGGGAGGATTTTGGTTAGACCTAAAATACAGGGTCCTTTCACCAAGTCACAACCTCAGTGTCCTCTTCCTTTGTCTGGAACGACCGTTGGTGTTTGCAGAGAGCTCCGAAATCACTGTCTCAGAGAAATCACTGTCTCTTAAGTGCATGGTACTGCTGCTTGTACTTGCAGTGAGGATGTTTAGTCCCATTTAGTTTTCTGTCTCCGGCAAAGTCCTGGCTGCAGCCCTGTATGTAGCAGTGTCAGCTGAGGAGCTCCTGGGAAGGAGGACATGGTTGTAATGGCCATCTGTATTCTTCTTTGCCCTGCTGCGTCAGAAGGGGGAAAGTTTGGGGCCTCCTAAGGAAAAAGGAACTGATGAAACCTCAGCAGCACCAGTGAAATGCATTTCTGGTCAGAGCTTCGTGACTGGTTTGCTGACTTACTGAGGTGGATTAGTAGGGAAAAGCTGTTTGTGGGTCCTCTGAGTGATGGGCAGTTGGTATTACCTGTCTTCTGTTTGTAAAAAGAGTTCAGGTGAGAAGGAAGGGCTGTTCTTGGGGGACCACCAAGCAGAGAGAAAATGAAGTATAACTTCTTGTTGTTGTTGGCAGTCTCTTGTGCCAAAGAGACGGACTGAGAAGCCTGCCTTTCCCACCGTTTCCAGACCAGCACAGCAGCCGCCAGCTGTCTGGAGCTTTTGTTTTAGTGATGTTTCTGGTTTGAAGTTCTTTGACAGCACTGAAAAAGATGGCGTTGTCTTGGCAGTCTAAGCAGGGCTTTTTAAAACTCAGCTACGAGAGTATGAGGGGCATCAAATGAGAAAGACGAATGACAGAGGCAGCAAGAGCTGAAATTAGAGCCCTTGGGAGGCAGAGGTGAGATGTGAACTTGCAGGGCACCCTTGGGGCCCTGACTTTCAGTCAGGACATCGGTCTGTGGGCTCCAGAGGAGAATGGAGGTGTGAATCTGGATAGCAAAGCAGGCTCCTTCAAATCTGCCTGCCTTGCTTGTTCCCTCTGACAGCTCTCCCAGAAATGCAGCATCCAGTGAGTGTGGTAACTGCATTGCATTGGTTCCAGCTGCTTAGGAAATATTTTGGGGATTCAAACCCATCATTTTTTCCTTCCATCCTAGAGCACTTTAGCTTTTTCCAGAACTGACCCATGACATGAAAGGCTTTGCTTCAGCTGTCTGGCCCGTTGATCTGCTCGGATTGTTGGCTTGTTTCCTGGGCTGAGTTTTGTCACCCAGGATAAAAGGATGACATCCAAGTTCAGAAATGTGAAAAATGTATGGACTTTGAGGTAAAGTTCTCTTTGGAGTAATTTCACTTACTTCCCTGTAGTCATAAATGATGTTAGCTTTTGTCCAGGCCAAGTACTGCACTTAATGCCTCAGATCGAATCATCAATATTTTTTTTTTCCACCAGTGAACGTACTATTTGAAGCAACTATTTTGTGATGCTCCAAAGAGACCATCCTGCTCCTGCTGAGAGGACGTGGCCTGTGGTGGGAGTACTGACTCAGGACAAGACTCACTGCAGGTGTTTTAGTGACAGAGGTGGGCTCTGCGGAGCCCCTTGCACTTGCAAGATCGTGTTTAGCCAGCCAGGTCTCCTGAGCTTCCTTTCAGCCTGAGGTTCTGAAGACCTAGAGCCAGGCAGCAGGAAGCTCTGGTCACAGTAATGGGGGGAAATTTAGGTTGCCTGAAGGTTTAGGGCATGGCTGTGAATCCTGGTCACTGCCTTACAAAGGCTAATAATAATACAAATATCTGTAGCTTTTCTGTCCCTTGTAGCAACTTTTAATTTTACTATAAAAACAGAGCTAGAGAGCGAGTCCCCCTCCCTGTTAAGGTAGCTTTACCATTTTAAAGTGGCTTTTATCCCAGAAGGAACAGAAATACTGGCGTGAATCTATGCAGATTAACTGTGTTTAAGCCAGCGGAAGATAAGAACGGAGATCAGTGAGCCAGATAAGATTAGTTGATTAGATCAGTGCCAAATCCATTAATGTCAGCAGGTAGTATTTTTTATTCTGCCGTTTACCTAAATTGCAGCTGACAGCTGAATGTGTTCTGGCAAGTAGTGTAGTCAGCAATTTACTTGCAGAACTTAAAATGCTAGAAACACTGGGGTCATTAATGCGGACAATTCTGCTCTGCTAAAAATACCAAGGATTAGGGGAACTAATACATGAAAGCATCAGCACACCAGGTAGTGTCTGCTTTTCATTTATTTCCTAGAGGGAGGGGGGGTGGTTGTGCTTGTTTCATTATAGAAAAGAAAAGAAAGGGAAACTTGCTTTTTGTTTGGGTTTATGTGTGTTTTTTGTTTTTTTTTTTTAAATCTGCTTGGCTAGTTGTATGGGTTCTAGCAGCTTTCAGACTGTGGTTAATTAATAAAGGACCTTACCAGAGCTCGATACAAAACAAGAGAAATGCTTTCCCTTGGCTTCTCTGGATGTAGCTTTTGAGTGTGGTGCCTGATGTGAGGTCAGGCCCGGAGCTGGCGCAGTTACAGCCGAGAGCGAGCGAAGCCTTTGTCAGTCCAGAGGGAATAGCGTTTTGCTGATCACGCGTTGGTGGGGCGTTCCCAGTGAACAAGCTCAGCTGCAGGTCGGTCTTTCCCTTGCAAAGGCATCTGTTCCCAGGAGAGGCTTTGCATCTTCTCTTTGTTTCATGCCTTCAGATTCAGTTCCTTGAACAAGCAGCTCCAAAAGCTTTTGAGTAGAAGGATGTTAACATTATCACCTCTTTTTAAAAGCATTTTTTCTCCTTGCTGATGTCTGTCTCTAGGATTTTCCCCTAATCTTTAGGGCACAGTAAAAACTAGTCCTGGAGAGGAAGGTCCATGTTTGGTGGTAGACTTGGCTCTCCCAAGATTGTTATCGTATGTATTCCTCAAAGTCCTTTGCCAGCACAGGTGAAAACATACTGTCCTTATTTTCTAGCCAAAGCAAACAGAAGCAGGAGGATGCTTGACTGCAAAGCCCGCGCGAGTCCCTTGCTAGGCTGGTAACAGACCCTGCAGCTATCCTGGTGTCTTGGGCCCTGCAGCTTCATCCCCTGTGGTCCCGGGGGAGCCCAGCTGCCTGGCCTGCATTGGCCAAGCACGTGCTGTTGAAGCCAGGGGATCAGGATTTGCTCCTCCACCCTGGGAGAGACGTTCCACACTTATTGCGGTCTGGCAGAGAAGCCTTGCAAAGCTCAGACCAAAACTTCCATCACCCCTAGCCACGTTGGGTTCATTTTGAATTTTTCCCTCTCGGAGGCTGCCTGCTCTGATAGACCTGCACCCCTCTTTGCCCCGAGGGTCCCAGGATCGCTGCTGCCTCTCCTTCGGCACACTGCAGGTGGGAACCCATGCGGCTCCTGTGCCAGCCCACTGCGTTGCTTGAGGCTGGCTTACTCGGAGGGGGAAAACCTGCTCCTGGCTCTGTGAAGGGATTGTCAGGCGAGGTGCCAGGTCTGAGCAGCGCAGGTTTTGGGGACGGGGGTTTCTGCGACACTCCCCAGTTACACACAGCAGGTCTGCTGGGGATCGTACACTGCTTTGCTAAAGGCTCTGCCCTCTGCGATAGGATTGTTTTCATAGCATTAAGGCAAAGACCTAAAAAGACCCTTTTTTCTGGGCTAAGAAGGGGGTTCCCAGTCTCTCCTGGGAGAAAGCTGATTGCAGTTAAAAATATCTGCTGTTAGGGAGCAAGTGGAAATTGGTTTCATAGGAGAGGCCACTTGCTGCCAGCCAAATAAAACACAAAATGGCACTGTGATGGTTTTGAATTGTTTGCTTATGAAGCAGAACTTTTTGGGAGTGAGGTCCTGGCATGAGTTTGATTGTGGCTATGTAGCAACAGAGCAGCAAAATCCTCTGGTAAAAGACCTGATTCTAACTTCTGTTTTTCTGTGATTTCCCCAGGAATACAGATGTTCATCTGCAACCACGAACACTATGGATTCCTTCCCATGCCCCTGAAATCACACCAAACACTGCAAGAAGAAACTGAGAACTTTGTGCACACGCTGATCGAGGCTATGAGTAAGTTGCTGTGCCCGGTGGCGATGGATCCCCCCAAGTTAGTGTTTGCAGAGCTCTCTTGCCAGCAGCCCAGCTCTCTTTTCCCTTGGGAGTCTGCATCCTGATCTGACTGCTCTCTTACTGGTTTGATATGCAGTTTTCCATTTTCCAGCACTCTTCTACATAGGAATGTAATCACTTCACGGTCAGGTCAACCCCATTCACAAAATCCCTCAACTTCCCCAGATCAAATACAAAAATGCATCTTTAATGTGAAAAGGATGCTGCAGAACCCTGTTTTTATCATGATGTCTGTCTGGCACACGGCTGCTGGCTTCTGCTTTGCAACGTGGATGCTTTCTGCTGTACCCACTCCTGTACTGACTTCATATCCCAGCTCCCTGGGGCTTTATGCCCGGTGATGGAAACATGTACAGATATATTGATGCAGCACGTACGTGAAGGTGATTCTTGGGATCTCTCCTCTCTTGCAGTCGATCGTCCTCCCATTGAACCCTCTCAGTATGTCTCCGTTCCTCCAAAGCACCCTGACAAGATGGGATTTGATGAAGTAAGGAACCTATTTTTCTTTTATTGTCTTGTCTCCCCACTCATCACCTAGAGGACCTGGGTTCTCCCTGTTGCTGAGCTTCCAGCCATTTCCCTTGAAGTGTATTATCTCTTCATGTAGTTAGCTCTTTCCCAATCACTCATCTTTTGGACGTGAACCTTTTGCGAGCAGAAAATAGCCATCCTTATTTGGGAAGAACTGCTGAGCTGAGGGAAGCAGAAGGAAAGGGCTGAAGGAACGGTCTTTCCCTCTGGTGTTTGCTGCGGAGAAATGAGGCCAGTCAGGTCTGCAGGCATTTAGTACCTGCTACGAGATCCCTGATGAGACGCGCAGATTTGTGTGCAAGGGCAGTGCCCAGCAAATCTTTGGGCTTCCTCTCTTGATGGTATGGATGTTCCAGTCCAGCCAGGAGGAGATGGCAGAAGGGAGGCTGAAAAACAGGTTGTTTAACTGCCTGGTTCTTGCTCTGTTTCCTCCACATCCGACTCCGCAGAGCAGCTTGGCAGTCCTTCTGTTCTGTGACAAAAACTGGTCTTTTGGGAAACCTCTTCTGCTTTCCAGTGACAGAAGGGAACGATTCCTCTCGCCTGAGAGAGACTGGGGAGCCCGGAGCGGCCAGGGGAGCCAGGCTGTCAGCTGGGTTCTAGCCCAAGCTGGGCAGTCCAGGAGCAATGAAAATCGCACGTGCTGTCTCCTTACTGCAGCAGCTTCCCCCCTGCCCTGTTTGGTCACCACATTTTTCTGCTATGGCAGGGGGGAAGCTTTTACTTAAGGTGTAAAAATGAACAAGAAACCTGGTTGCTGACACCGGTACTGCCCAGAGACCCCACAGAAATTCCTCTCCCAACTCTGCCTCGTGTTGTGGAGAGAGCAGGCGTTGAGGGGAGAAGGCTGGAGAGGGATCCACGGTGCTTTAATTAACCCGTGTCCGTGTTTTTCACAGAGCCAGCAAGCCCTGTGTGCGCAGCTGCCAGGGTGGCAGTGGCACCGTGACCGAGGGAGCTGTGGCGATCAGGGGAGCCTTTGTTTTCGTGGCGTATTCTGCTACATCTGTTTATATGACTCTTAAAGTCCGAGCCTGATTTGGCTGTGTGTGTTTGAGCGTCTGTGTTTAGGACACAGCTGGTGTAGGGTTTTTTTTCCATGTTGTCCTTTGTGGCTGCGCTTTATTTATCCAATTTATTATTTTTGCGTTTGTACTGAGCTGGAATTTGATCCCCTTCTTACTGGGATGAGGTTTTGCTCCACAGGCTACAAGGCTGCACTTGTACTTGTCTGCCCGGGACCGAAAAATATCGCTGACCCTCTGCAGTTTACCTGCAAACGAGGGCTCTGGTCCTGTGCCCTCCACCAGAGAGTCCGTCTCCTCGAGGCTTGGACTGAGCCCTGCCCAGACATCTCTGTTCCCGGTCTTGGCTCTCCCGCTAGGCTTTCTGCTCTGGCAGGGGTAGCAGCGGATTTTTCAGTGCCCGAAGTAATTACAAAAATCCTCTCTTTGCTGTGTCCTTGCACTTGGATGGTGGCCTCGCTGAAAATCCTAGATACAGGCAGTGGCAGTGTTGTGGAGAAACGTGGGTCAGTGTTCCTCTGGCACCGGAGCTGGAAATGGCCATGTTACTCTGTGCTTAATATAAAGCAAAACATCCTATATCTCTGGAAATTATAGACTTGGCTGTAACTGGTCTGCTTTCATCCTTGAAGAGCACCTTTTCCCTGTGACATAAAACATCCATAAAAAGTAGTTGTTAGACAAAGAACAAGCCTCTAACCTTTCAGTTCAAAACCAACCTCAATTTTTTGACGTATTCTAAACAACCTGGAATAAAACCCCACCTGGCATTTTAGTAAGATCTACTTTTCCAGTGGGGCTGCTGGAGAAGAGTGAATCAGCGACTCTTTTCTTTCTCACTCCCAAGCCAGGACTGATGTCTTTCTCTTCTACCCAGATTTTCATGATCAATCTGAAGCGTCGGAAAGACAGGCGGGATCGGATGCTGCGGACTCTCTACGAGCAGGAGATTGCAGTGAAGATAGTGGAGGCTGTGGATGGAAAGTGAGTTTCGGCCGGGGTTGCTGATGTTTGCAAAGCGTGGGTCGTGTTAACTGCTGAACACCCTGACCTCCCTTCTGGTGGAGAAGGGTGGGCTGAGGGGAGAGGTGAAATCACTTTTATTCACCGGACAGTCTGACGGGGGCAGTTTTGCTCTGTTTTTCTTTTGCAATTAGTCGGTCTCCGTGAGAGAACCAGGGTGGTGTGGTTCAGACTAAGATGAAAATCGGGTTAAAATCATACTGATTTCTATGAACACTTGCACCACGGTTAAAAGGAGTCGGCAGTGAAAGTGTTTGAGAGCAGTTATCTCCTGGGAGGACTGTCAAAAGCTGTTGTGCTACAGCGTTAACCCTGACACAGCCCATTCCAAGCTTGCTCTTAAGGTGGCGTTAAGACATTTTTATAATGAGAAAGCAAGGCAGAAATTTTTGGTCTGGGTGTTGCTAAAAGGCCGCAGGGAGATAGGAACCCACATGCCATCTAGTGGTCTTTTAGACTTGGGTACCCATCAGGACCTCTTCGGAAAAATAATTTAAGCCAAGCGTGTACAAGTTGATGGTCCCACGAGAAGTTGTTGGCAGAGTTAAGGATACGATTTGTCAGCCTGCTTTAGAAATGTAAATCAAGAAGTTAATTTTTGTCCAGGTTTTTGTCTGTAACAAGTGCAGGAATTTCTTGAGACGCAGCTTTTCTCTGAACGTCAGCAGCATTTCTCATGTTGTGTCTGTGTCTGACTTACATTTACTTTTTTTTATTAAATGGTGACAGATATTCTGTCTTTCTCAGAGCACTGAACACAAGTCAGCTGAAAGCTCTCAGCATCGATATGCTCCCGGGTTACCGGGACCCGTACTCCTCCAGGCCACTAACCAGGGGAGAGATCGGCTGCTTCCTTAGTCACTATTACATCTGGAAGGAGGTAAGGAGACTGTGGGTGCCTCGGGGTTCCTGCAGGAAGGTGCTGTGGGCAGGCGCATGGCCAGTCGTAGGGCAGAGCATCAAATACGGTACCAGTTTCTGAAGTAAGGTGTGGAACTGTTTTCCTTGGTTTGTAGGGGATCATGTGCAGGGTTTTTCCTTGAACACGGTGTTCAGCTTTGTCATCTCTGCTTTCCATTTGCCAACAGCTCTGAGTGATTTTTATTTATTTATTTATTAATCAGAATACTGTCATGACTGTTTTTTTCAAAGCATCCAGTAGCCTGCTTGGAGAGAGTTTGCTTAGGAGAAGGCAAGAAGGTTTTGAAAAACAAGTGGTGTTAAAAAAAAAAAAACAACTCCTGGGTGGTGGTGTTTTTTTTTTTTTTTCCCCTGGTTGTGCATCTGTGCTGAAGCAAGGTCCAGTGACTCTGGCTTTTTTGAGTTGGCGTATCATAAAGATTCTCAACATTAGGGACCTCTGTTACCTGCGCTAAGAGATCTTGTTTGGGTGGTAAAAGCTGTACCTTCCATCTGTCTCTGGTCACGTGGGGAGTGACACTAGAGAAGATCTGGGCTGTGCTGGTCGGAGATGCTGGGGTTCCACAGCCCGACATCAACAAGAGGGATTGTTTCAAGTGAGATGCGGTGGAGGCAGGGTACTTGAGGTGCTTGGTACCGAAAGACTGGGCAGTGGCAGCGGTTGCCCAAATCCAACAGCGAGGGCTGCACCTCCTGGTGCAGGGTCCTGTACAGATGTGTGAGCAGACAGCCCTCTGCCCTCAGAGGCGTTGGGTGCAGCACACTCGGCAGGGCACTGATCCAAACAGCCTAGAGCCTGCGGGAGGGACTGCAGTCATGAGAAGTTGGGCTTTGCTTTCGAGCTTGAGATTTCTAAACCTCCAACGGTCAGATAACATGGGAACGTAGATGCAGGTGCCTTTGCATGTGTGTTCTCTTGAGTCGTCAGAGCCAGACTCTGGATGTGCTGGGTTGTTCTCCTCCTGGCTCCTCCAGGAACACTTTCTTCTGACACGGAGGTTTTTCTGAACAGGGCCTTTGGCATCAAAGGCTGCTGCACGTTCCTCTGAGGAGGTGGTTGCTGTGGTCCTGCTGGTCTGGGAACCCTCATGGGTTCCAGATGATGCGACATCAGATGGGGGATTTTTCTAGGTTGTGGATGCTCAGCCACAGGGTGTTTTCAGGACTGTTCTCACTGGCTCTTGCAGTCTCTCCCAGCTGAGCTGTGAATCTGGGAGTGGTTCTCCAGCCTCCCTACCTGCCTGCTCTAGAAGGCAGTGTCAGGTCAGGATGACCCCAACAATTTCAGGGTGCAGGGAGGGGCTCACGTGGGCCACTGTGATCACTCCTGAACCCTCTTGTTTCAGGTGGTGAACAGAGAACTGGAGAAGACGCTTGTTATTGAGGACGATGTGCGCTTTGAACACCAGTTTAAAAGGAAGCTCGTGAAGCTGATGGATGACATTGAACAAGCCCAGCTAGACTGGGAGCTTGTGTAAGTAACAAGCCCTCAGCCATCTGGGAACTCCTGGGCAGCAGGGGAGGTCGGCAGCACCCACTGTGTCACGGGAGAGATGCAGGTTAATGCTGGAGTGCAGGGGAACGTGGCTCTTCCCATCATCAGGACAGCTCTGCCTCCTGGGGCAGGCTGATGCTGGAATGCCCGTTGGGTATTGGTTGGTCTCAACAGCATCTGGAGATGCTGCCGTGATAGAGGAACTGACACGGCGTAGTCCTGAGGCTTGGACTGTGGCACCTTAGCTCCCTTAGGAAGTCTTTGGCAGCTGTACCACCCACTGGGCTAAGGCACGGGTGTCTGGGAGTGGTGTGGGATAGAAATTTGTAAGCCTGGTCATGGATTACTTCTTGGATTGACCCTTTGCCCATCTCTGGTTGACTGGTCCTAGTTGCCGCAGATTGGCTTTGGTTCCAATTTCCATGATCTTTTCACCCTTTAAGCTACATTGGCCGGAAAAGGATGCAGGTGCAGGAGCCTGAGAAAGCAGTTCCCAATGTCATGAACCTGGTGGAAGCCGATTACTCGTACTGGACCCTGGGCTACGCAATCTCTTTCCAAGGGGCTCAGAAACTCATCGGAGCTGAACCTTTCAGCAAGATGCTGCCTGTAGATGAATTTCTGCCAGTCATGTACAACAAGCACCCTGTGTAAGTAGGATGCCTTCGTCGCTCGGGTTGAGGTGAGCTGCTTCTTGCTGAGTGATCTGAAGCCGGATCACGTTGGTGTGTCTCGCTTCCGTAGCCTGGCTGGTGGGGACAGGCTATGCCTCGTGCTTTCTGGTTGTCTGCAGCAGAGCTTCTGGTCAAAGGAGGTGACAGAGCTGCTGCAGAGGGGTGGCTGTCCCTGCCTGCTGCGGGGCTTGTGGGCTGGGTCTGAGATGCTCTGCTACCTCTGGTAAGGGAGGTTTTGGTTGTATAGGTGGTGTGTGGTGGTAAGGCACATGGTTCTGGCTGTAGAGAGTCAGGACTCGCCCCCAGCAACTACTTCTGCTCCCTGGGACCTGCTTGCTCAGTGGATTGGTTTGTATCTCCGTTACCACCAGTGGCGCTGATGAATGTTCGCTCTCTTACTGGTGTTTTTTCTCTCCTCTTTAGAGCGAAGTACATGGAGTACTACGAGTCCAGAGACTTGAAAGCCTTTTCAGCAGAACCCCTCCTTGTTTACCCCACCCACTACACGGGGCAGCCAGGCTACCTCAGCGACACAGAGACCTCTACCATCTGGGACAACGAGACCGTGTCAACGGACTGGGACAGAACGCACTCCTGGAAATCCCGGCAGCAGGGCAAGATCCATAGCGATGCCCAGAACAAGGATGCCCTGCCTTCCCAGTCGTCTCTCAACACGCCATCCTCCAGGGATGAGCTATGACTGCCCGCTCCCCCCAGGACAGCTGAACCTGCCTCACACTTTAGCTTCTCACCCTTGAAAGTTGTAGAGCAGCTCTTCATGTGGTCTCCTTCCCGCCACTTCCGATGGAGAAGCAAACTGGTTGGACCTGACAGCTAACCGAGCCGCTTAGGACTGGGCGGGAGATGGAGGAGGAAAAAGAACAAGTGTTCCAGACTGGCAGAAAAAAAGGCAGAGATCTGAACAAAAGCCCTCGCAAGCTTTTGTTAAAAAAAACAAAAACCAACCTTGAATGACGTCTTTCTACAGTTCCTCATGTAGAATACTGTATTTATAAAGATTAATATATAGAGGTGTACGAGTGTTAAAACCTTTCCAGATAGGTGTAACTGGGCTGCTGTGAGAAACTGCAGGCAAGTGTTTGAGTTACTCGGTTTTGTTTTTCAAAGGGATCCCTGTCAGAATTGAGACGGTTTCCAAAACCGCTGAGTGCACTGGAGCAGCGCTCCTCTGCAGTGTCCTCCCCCCTCATCGCGCTTCTGTACAAAACTATTGCTGGCTCCCCCCTGCAAATTTCAGAACTTGCTAGATCCCACCTAAACAGGCCTCCCAGTCCCGAACTGGTGTCTTGGCATGTCTAAAATCTTGGAAGCTAGCAGAGACAGTGGAGGTGCTGGTTTTACTTGTCTCTGCACTGCCTGAAGGGAACAGAGGCAAAGTTAGTCGTGTCATGTCCCGCGTCACCCCCTGCCTCAATGTATTCCTTCAGGAAAACAAAGCCCGACAACCTATTTGCAGGCCTGTTTAATTAGGCCATAAACCCAAGTGTAGGACTTCTAGGAACTTAACATTTAAAAGAGCTTGGTTGTGAAATGCTTGGTTCTATCCTTATAAAACCAAAACAACCTGCAGAAATGTTAGTGGTGTCAACGGTACTGTTCCCGACAGCCAGGGTAGAATTGTGCATTATAGGACGGAAAGGCAACTTGTCTTGATATTTTTCATGTGAGGAGCAAACTTGTCTTTTTCGTATGAGTTTGGTTGTACTTGCTGTTGGCTGACATGTCAGCAGAATATGGTGTCTGGTTTGGTTTTTTTTTTTGTGGGGTTTTTTTTTGGTTTTTTTGGTTTTTTTTCCTTTAAAAATTGTTCTCGGCGGCCAGGTGATGATGGACTACACTGCTTAGGTTAGCTGGCACGGACCTGGGCCTGCAGGCTGCTGTTGCCGTGGAGGATGACCTTGTGGACTTGCAATCTAGAGACTCACCTGCTGGCAGATCTGTACAGGTGTATGGTTGGGGTTTATGTTTTGTTTTTTGTTTGGTTTTAATAATTACTGATCCATGTTGTGCTTTCTGCTAAAGAAGACGTGTTATTACCTGTCAGCCGGTCTGATAATACATAGAAATTGGTGCAAGCTGAGCAGCCGTGTGTATTTGTCCTTGGGTGGGAGTAGCCCTGGCGGGGAGAGGCCAGCTCAGGAGTTTTTCAGCTGTGTCGCTCTACCATGGAGTCACTGGCCGTATAAACGTGCCTGGTCTGCAGCTGCCCCCTGGAAGCCGTGTTCCTTCTGCTGTCCAGGCTGGAGCAGGTGCCCAGGCGCCAGGGTGAGTACAGAGAGCAGCCACAGGCCACCGTGTGCAGCCTGGGTCGTTTCTCTCTGACACCCCCCTCACTTCCTCCACAGGTCTGACCTGTTTGACGCACAGTTGAGCACGGCAATCCCAGAGATGTTGGTACAAAACTTGGTGTGGCCTTCAGGAGCAGGACAGCTGTGAACTGGTGAGCATCCAGCATGTTCCCTTGTGTCACTGGGGATATGCATAACATGTTACCAAGTTGTTCTATCACATCAGGCTTCCCTTGGGACAGGGGCTGATTTTTGCAGCGTAGCTGTTTCCCCAGCCCTTTGGTAATGCTGATTGAGGGTGGGGTGGGTGAGAAGGGTGCTCCAGAGGAGCAGAGGTCCAAGCTTGGTGTTGCACCTCTGGGGGCTTCCAGTCCCACAGCTGTGCACGTGTCTGGGTCCCGCAGAACAGCTGGGATGCGCAGGCCCTGGGTGGGTGAGCCCCTTTGCCCATGTATCGTTTCTCTGATGTAATAGTGTGGCTGCCTCACCAGGTGAAGCTCATTATGGTTATGCTGTGCTCCTACACATCACCACTGCGTATCTCTTCTACCCTTGTGTGGTTCTGTTCTGTGATAGCCCCACCTCTGTGTCTGAGAGAGGCCAAGGGAGTTGATGTACCCATGTCAGCATGAGCTCTGGGTCCTGTCACAGCAGTTTCTCCATGAACATTGTGGCTGAAAAGGCCCCCGGTGCTCCTCAGGGTGCTGCCCTCCTCGTGCTGGGGGCTGCAGAGGGAAGGGACCCGCATGGGTGGGGGGTGGTGAGCATGGCATCCCGGGGCTGCTACCTGGGCTCGGGTGGGGATGGGTCTGTGTTAGAGCCTCACAGCTGCCCCTTTGGGCTCTTCCACAGGGAGGTGAGGAGCATCGCTGCATTGCCCACACAGGAAATATATCGTGGATTTAAAAAATAATGGGGTCTGAGGCCTGCTGTTTTTGATTTTTTTACCCTCGATGTAACTGATTCAAGTGATAGAACAAGACCAGGTCCCGGCATCACCTGCACAGTTGTTGCATGGAAGCCACCGGGCTGACCGCACGTGCCGCAGCCACGGTGAGGGCAGGGGAGGCGGCTGGCACTGGCCAGGAGGTAACGCTGCGGGTCGGACGCGTCAGCCCGGAGCTGCTGGTTAACGCGGTGCTCCGGGAGCCGTGTTGCCCATGGGCTGGGGCAGCTCAGGGAGGCTGTGGTTTAGCTGCATTTGACTTTCTTAAGTATAACAGTAGCAGTTAAAAACATCTTGACACCAGTTGGTTGGGGTTTTGGTGGGGTTTTTGTTGTTGTTGTGGTGGTGGTGTTTGGTGGGGTTTTGGGGGGTTTTTTTTTAATATTTTTTTCTTTTTGCTGACTCTGGAAGTGAGTGGTACAATGGGTTTGGTGGCAGTTTCAGGAAAGGGGGGGATTTAAGAATAAAAATGTAATGAATCTGTTCATTTTGCGACCACATCTGCTCTAATCTAGCTGATTGCTTTTACCTCTGTGTGTGTGTATGTGTGGGTACAGACACAATTTTCTATTTATTTACACACAGAAGCTGGGGTGGATGGCTGGTGGTTGTACCTGCTATGACAAGTGCTGTTTTTCCCGTCTGTGTTTTCAGTTCCTTGGCAGGTGTTGCCCAGGCTTTGCCCTACTCAGATTTAACTGTGTTTTGGAAAAGTAGGAGCCAGTGGAACCACTTCAGTATTTTTCTGATTTTTTTTTTCCACTTTCCATGTAGTTTTTTTTTTTGACTTGTCTAATGGGCTTCAAATCTGAGTGCAAGCAGGAGCACCAGTTGTTGTGTTTTGTCTCCCTAGATAGTTTAAGGGGAAAAAAAAAAAAAAAAAAGCAGGAGGCAGCTCAAACTCAGGGTCATCTTTCTTTTGTCTTTGCCCTTCAAGGTGAGAGGCCCTTCAGTGACCAAGGCCACCATTCAGGAGCTGGCAGGGTGACATGGGGTAGTGTGAGGAGTCTTCCCCCATGCTGTGTGAAGTGGCGGGGGAGCTGGCTGCAGAAATCATTCAGGGACCCGAAAGAGAATGATTTCATGGAGAAACATTTGTAAAACTTGCATCTAACCAAAGTTACCTGGTTAGTAACAACAGAAATCATTAAACTGAAAGCCCAAAACACTAGCAGCAATATTCCATCACGCAATAGTCCATAGTAGTAGCAGGTTGGTGTGCATGACGGATGCTCTGGGAGAGCTTTTGCTTTGCTGGTGTTTACCTTTAGCTCTCCACCAGCTCATTGCGCTCCTGCGGCGCGCGACTGGGCTACGTATGGCTCGTGCCGAACTGCTGCCCCGCTGCGGGTAACGTGGGCGAGCCTGGCTCACTTGGAGAGCTGAAGAAACACAGAAGCTGTCCTCATAAAAACTTTTAGGAATTAAAAAGAGCATGACAGTGTTACCAACAGTACAAATCTGTTCCTGGATGTGATGGTGGAGAGTAAAACGATGCTGAAGGAAGGGTGTAGCCAAAACGTGGTGTTTCGGTTCTTTGGGGGACAGGGAAGCAGAGCTGTGGGAGCTGGGAGAAGTTGAGAGCAGTTAAACCAGTAAAAGTGATGGAGTTGAAGAGTGTGACAGTGAGGGAAGTGGTATAAGGTGTAAAAACCCACACCTGACACACACAGAGTAATAAAGTCTAAGAGAAGAAAACAGATCAATGCCAGGCAAATATTAGTGGAAAACAGTTTATATACTTATTGTGTAAAGATTACAGGTAAGCAATTAAAAAAAAAAAAAATTTTCATATATAACCTTTTGGAGGGTGTAAAATTTTAAAACCTTTCAGCTTAACATAGACAAACATCCTCTGAGCAATACTGAACTTTACTAATGATACCGTAACAACACTGAAATGCAAAGAAAAACCAAACTTGTGTTGTAATCCTGCCCTAACTCCAGGCAAAAGTTAAGGCTCAGTTACAAACTCAACCCCTTTACCCTCTTAACAAAACTACACTTGGAGTACTTAAACCATTCAAACTAGGACCTGCGTGGTGTTACTTGTAAACAGAGGTCATAAATCTTCATGTAGTGTAAAACGTAGTACAACCCAATATTATTTGCAGTCTAACTTTATCACTTAATAATCACTAATGTAACCTGAGCCCAGTTTTGAAAACTAGTGCTAGAGCACTGGGGGGGAAAAAAAGGCTCAGGCACAATAAAAAATTCAGTATTTGAGTTTGTTTTCACTAATACTAATGTATCTCAAAGACAGCCTGTTCAGGAAGGGCTGCTTACAATCCAATGTCTCATTTATGGCTTTTTTAAATTAAAAAAACCCTCTAACTGTCCTTTCAAGGAAGCCTTGTGTTCTGGGAAGAGACTCAAGAAGTACATTCTTTAAAGTTTCACAGAACAGGTAATTATATAATTATTCCAGCTGAATGCTTTGTTCCAGCTGAAAGGATGTACCATGTCAGGAAATTCATTTAATAGATGTAGATACAGAGTAAGGGAGGTGCCTGT